TCGGCTTAAGGACCATGCAATCAGAGATGCACTCATTTACATTCCTCAGTTTAGTGAACTTGAACATTTGCAGACGTGTTTCTCTGAATCGCATCAATGATGCTTTAGGAACAATAACTGAGATGTGTTACAAAAGGGCACTTTTTCTTCTTGTTCCTCATATTAAAACCCCTTTATCTAAATAACACAACTCACAACTCAAGATGACTCGCTCCTGGTTCCTTGCCTTCCTGGTTCCTTCTCCTCATACTCAGTCTACAATAGAAATTGCCTGTTTTCTGTGCTTGTCTAATATTCTTTCATCTCACTAGCAATTCAGACAGTCCAGGAGGGATGAAGCCCCAGCAGGAACACTGCACTCTGAGGATCCCTAAATTTCCACGTTTTAGCTACACAAAAACTACCCTTTAGCTCATGTTACTGCCTTGTAAGAATATTAAACTGAGCAAGTAAAAATTTTTTAAAAAAATCTTTTCAAAAAATGCAGCCTTTTGAGAAAAACCAAAATACACCCTTCAGCCACATTTTCATTGATTATAAAAACTGTTAATATGATTTCTCTAACTCCTTACAATAAAATATGTGCTTTTATTTTGCTTCATTCTGACCCTGTTTGCAATTGAGTTGAAATTGTGTTTCAATTTCTTTTCCCTGTAATCTGAAACACGCCATCCTACATTCTTCAGCTGGAAGAGTGTCTTTCCAAAAATATAACAATATCAAGGAATTTATGAAATAAGAGCTTTTTGTCCTATACAATTGTGCTTTGTCAGGTAGCGAAACAAAAATTAATGAAACAGAACAGGTTTTGGAAGGTTTTCTGCTGCATGATATATTTTGAGATTTATTTTTCCATCTCAAATCACAAAACAAATCACAAAACCTTTTAGAAAATGGTAATTCTGGTTTTCATGGGGTTCACAGGCTTTTCAGTCTTTTTCACAGGTGCACTCAACATTGACAACAGGAAGAGAATAGACACAAGAGAGGAAACACATCAGTTTTTATTTAGCAGCCTCCTAAAAAGAAAGTAGATACATGTCTATTGTTACTCTTCCATGGCAAAGAAATAACACAGTCCTCTTCTGATTTTTTACTCTTTAATTTGCAGTATACACTTTAATGTTTTATTTGTCATCTTTTGTCCCTTGAAGGGAAAGGAATCCCCGCTCCTGTCAAAAAGGCACTAAGCAGCTGTCAGCTTTGCTTATGGGTACAGCTGGGATGAAAACCTGGTGTTACTGAAGTTCCAAGTGAGCTTTCTGTGCAGAGTGCCATGAGCCAGTGAGTACAAAGAAATGCAAAAAAAAATCCTAACTGGATTTAGCAAGGGTTACTCCAGAGGCTGTAGGTGTTCTTAATATCTAACATAAAAGTAAAATACACCCATCCACTACATGTTTCAGAAATGAGGCAAGCAGAAAAACTTAACATTCCTCTTTCTATGTCAGAAGCTTGAGGACTGATGTAAATGGCAGCAAGACTGTATATTCTCACTTGAAGAATACTTTTTGAGGTTTTGTTTCAGTTTACCTGTATATCCATTTCTCTGTTGTAGTTTAAATATAGCTCTCCCCAGAATAAAATCAAACCCATATCTTTCTAACAGGGATATTTATGTAACAGAACTATATTTTTACAGATTATGCATATGAAACCTTAGCTGAGGGCTGATGTTTTAAAATTATCCTGCATCAAAGTTGCTCTTGCACAGAATCCACACAAGCTCCACTGATATGATTTGTACTGGAAACCTGAAATTGAAGGAAGCCACTCATAAAATGTAAGGGGAGTCTAATTTTATTCCTCATAAAGATTACTTTCTTGCTTGATTTATGACATTTTCAAGTTAAACCACAAGACACAGGCAGAGACTGTGGTTGCAGTGGGGGAAGGACATAAAGTTACCCTGAACAAGATGAAAATACAAATACAGCGTTAGCTACACCCAAATAGATGCAATAACGACAGAGGTAAAATAAGTTGAAATGCTACATTGTGGTTCCAGCAGCTTAACTTGAGCATTTAGAAAGCAAAGCATCACAAGTAATGATGACTCAGAGCAAGAATTTCCACTAGCCCAGGCTTTGCTGAACAAGGAATTCAGGATTACAGACCCAGAAAGATTTAGCAAAAAGAAAGGCAAAGTTGGAAGGAGGGTTTTCGGTACTCCACATTTCCCCAAGAGGTTATTTGCCCTTGAGAATGACTTGCAACAAGAGTCTTGTGTGCTTTGCATGCCCTCCTCCTTCCCTGCAGAGGACACTAGGGAACCATGGCATCATTGTTCTTTCACTCTTCGTGATGGACATCTTCCTTACTGAAAACCATGCCAATGGGACCTATCCTTTTTGGAGAGCTCTTGTAGGCACCTAACCACAGCCTGGTGCTTTTCAGCCCCTGTTCAAGAGATGCCTAAATTTGGGAGGCACTTGTGTTTTACTGATGGTGGTGTTCTACCAGCGCATAAAATTTGCTTTTAGGCAGGCCACAAATCCTGACACTGTTTTGCGTACTGCAGCATCTATGCGTGCATTTTTTTATCACCTTCTATCAGGTTGTGCTCTCAGAAAAAAGCAAGCTTAGAAGAAATGATGTTTGTGATTAGCCCTAACACAGAACTGAATGTAAGAGGTATTCAATAGCTTTATGACCAGTGTGACAGATTTAATGGAAATTTTCACCTATACTCCTACCTCCCAAGCACATACAATTTCTATAGGAATACTATCTAGGGGTGAGATCCCTTAGCCTGTGAGAACAAATATCTTTCACTTGCAAAGGCTTATTATTAGAGCTCTACAGATACTTTGATATAGGTAAAACTTTTCTGTTTTGGGAAGTTTAGGGTTGTTAGGCACACAGGGGTGCAGCTTGAGAAGGATTTTTGAGGCAGTAGAGTTCATGAATAGGTACTTACTATGGTAAGTCACAGATAGAAGCTCTGAAAGAGATAGCACTAAGGTTTTTTTCCAGTAACTTTGAGTCAGTGAGTGCTTTTTCAAGTTCCCCTGAAAAATAAAGAGACAGTTTCATTCTTGATATAGCTCCACTGACAAGAACAATCTTTCATCTGCAATGGATTTGGCTCAAAGGGGTTTTTGCAGTCGTGATCATGTGATGTGCTCATTACTTGGAACATGTTTGTTCTATGTCATGTGCATGATATATTAGGAACACATCTTTGACTTCTTTGCAATTCCTATTTTCTTGTGCCTTTTTCTGGGGTTCCAACAGCTCAGGTTGAAGCTCCTGAAAGCCTGTCTATATTGCTTAACATCAGTTGTTTGACACAGACTCTCACTACTTCTGAATATTTTAAGCAGACGTTTGAAACACTATGTCAAATTGATCAGATCAAGAAACAGCAGAAATGAGTCTGCACTGAGCTTCTTGCTGCTGTAGCTGTGCTTCTTCTGGATCTGCACTCAATTTATTTTTAGAGTCGAGTATCTCTCTACTGCATTATGCATTCAATAAAGACTTCACCTGTGCCAGGTCTAAGGAACTGTCAATGGTCATTTTGTGAAAGGTCTACCAAGTTATTCAGTAAGAGCCTCTGTCAGAAATCACAGTTTTTGTCAGAATGGTTACTTTCAGCTAGTTATCCAGCACTGAGGGCTGACCACCTCTCTGAGGGACTGACCTGTTACAATGCTCATGGGCTATGCCCATGCAATTAAGCTAAAGGCCTTATTTAACAAGATCTGAAGTTGATGAGTCACACAAACTGACTGGCACCTACGGTTTTTTAATCTAGCCCCCTATGGCAGGTGTGTCTTGGAAAGAGATGCTTGGATGAAACAGTGCAGGTGATCAGAGTCCACAAGCAAGATTGTGTGCCTGAACCCACCCTGCCCCTCTTTTATTAATCAGCATAGATGTGCCCAGAGTTACTCACTCGCTTGGCCTGGCACTCTTTTCAGGCCCATATTGCCACTCCTCACAGAACTTACTGTTACTCTGTCCTCTGCCTTTCTGTCATTTGTTGCCGTTACTTCACTTTTTCGACTTCTGTGAAACTGCACCCCTGTGCTTGCAGCTGAATGAAAGTCAGCACGCACGCATGTAGCGCATTGAGCCATGAGTTCTTGTTCGCAGCTGCTAAATGGTGCTGCACTGTGTAAAACAAATAAGCTAAACCATGAGCTATTGTGTCTGCCAAGAAAGATCTATCCAGGCCAGACAGTGAAAGCATGGGTTTGCTTTGCAGACTGCAAAACTGAAACTAATTTTGCAGAATTACAGGTGATGCCAATAAGACAGCTGCCAACAACATTTTTTAATAAGTTATATCTTGCAGCAATTGAAACTCAGCAGCTTTTCCTTTTGTTAGAAGAGGGCTTTTTACTTCTTTAGCTTGGTCCCTTCAGCCTGCAAACCAGTCCGCGCAACTGCAATCTGTCCCTGGTTCTCAATTATACATGGTGCTTTCCTCATGTTCTGTTTGTATTACTAATATAACAAGAATAATTCAGTGCATGTCTTCCTTTCCCCAGTTGAAAAAAAAAAAATAAATCCAGCACTTACTTGGAATGAATCACTGTTTAGTTGGATAGAATTAAAAGAAAGTCACAAAATATTGTGTATTACAAGAAGCAAGGTCATGACATCCAGAGTAAACAGGATGGATTTAGCTCATGGAGATCCTATGGCATAGTGTTCTCATGCAGACATCAATTTAATTTCAATTTGTGATATGTAATTTTCTTTATGTTATAATAACATAAGAGGTGTGATAATGCATAGACTGCAGAAAGCATCAGAAAGCCATTCAGAAGGGAAAAAGTAGTTGTTCAAAGTTAGGAAATGAGACAAGTAAAACATTACAATGATTCAGAGGGAGGAGAGAGTTTTCAGGAGATAATTTTAATGATTCAGTTCATTTAGAGATAATCTGTCAAACTACATAGGGCTTTTTCTTAGTTTGATTAACAGATGAAGTATGTTCTTGATTTCTGTTTTGACACTGCTTTTCTCTCTTGACATTTGTCCTCTAGGTTTTTAAGACAAGTGTTCATGATATGATCCAGCTGGTTTATAGAGATCAACAACTCCCTTGTGAATAATGGTTAAAAACGAATCCCACCTGGATGCTGAAACTCTGGCAATGCTCCAGAACAAAGCTATCTCCATCACCCTCCCAGTTGTATATACACTGGTGGCTATGATCAGTATCCCAGGCAATTTGTTCTCCCTTTGGGTGCTCTGCTGGCACATCAAACCCAAAACACCTTCTGTTATCTTCATGATCAACCTAAGCATCACGGATCTCATGCTGTCCAGCTGCTTTCCCTTCCAGATTTCTTATCACATTCAGAGCAATCACTGGAGCTTTGGCAAGACTCTTTGCAGCCTTGTGACTGTGATGTTCTACGCCAACATGTATTCTTCCATACTGACCATGACCTGTATCAGCATCGAGCGGTACATGGGTGTAGTATATCCCATGAAGTTGATCAAGTGGAGAAGAAAAAGATATGCCTTGGCTGCCTGCCTAGGTATGTGGATTTTGTTGCTACTAGCCTTCTACCCACTAGAAAGCACAGATCTGACCTATGAAGTGAAAGAATTGGGAATTATAACCTGTTTTGACGTCCTCAAATGGGATATGCTACCCAACTTTGCAGCCTGGGTAGCCTTTCTCCTCACACTATTTGTCGTGCTCTTCCTGATCCCTTTTGTTGTAACAGTTGGATGCTATATTGGCACCATTCGGAAGCTTATTCAGACATCGAACAGATATGGTAACAGGCAGAAGACTAGATCCATATACCTGGCGATTATAGTCCTTCTGGTATTCATCACTTGCTTTGCCCCCAATAACTTTATCCTACTTGTGCATATGATCATCCGCCTATTTTATGGCAGGAGTTTATACCCTGCCTACAAGCTCACCTTGTGCCTCAGCTGCTTCAACAACTGCATAGATCCCTTCATTTATTATTTTGCATCCAAAGAATTTTACCAGAAATTCATGCAAGTATTTCGCCCTAAGGTACTGCTCAGCGACAGTTTGGAAAACAGAAGGGAAAGCTTATTCTCTGGCAGGACGATGTCAGCCAGGTCAATGTCAAGCGGACCTATGGATGGGTTAGAAGGAGTAAAGGTCTATTTGCAAAGACAGGAAAGTGTTTTCTAGCCTTAGACATGCTCAGAAGAAAGGCACATGTGAGATCCATGAATAGGCAAAGAAAACATCCTCAAAATACCTTGCTCCAGTGACAGAAGTCAAGCCATACTTACATTGTGCATCGTACTTCAGTATTTTCTGGTAAGAAATTGAAGTGTTAAAGGAAGTGAGTTTATTCAAGAAGCCACTGAAGCAAACCCAACATTCATAATTAGGGGTTGGCCTGGAACTAGTCCTGCTGCATGAATCCAAGGGACAAGTTTAGAACAAAAATTACTCTCAGGTTGTATGATCTCAGTGTTTAACCAAAAGCTCATGATTCTCAGTGAATGTGAAATATTACTGTATATGAGTTAGAGCATACACTGAAGTTGGATTTGATGTAGGGGAGTTATTTTTCTAATAATGTGCTGCGTTTTTTGTTTGTTTGTTTGTTTGAATGTCTTGCTCTCTCGTATTTCTATGAAAGAATGAGTAAAACCAGCTTGTCATTTTACCATTAACACATAATGCATAGCCACTGTGAATTCACCACAACACTCACCCAACTGCTTATCAGAACCAAACCACACTAACCTTTGAAAAGGTTAGGTTGACTCATATGATTTATTTCCATTTTATAAAGCAAAATATCTCATATAATGAAAAAAAAGCTAGAGCTAGCAATGTTTGAGACTACTTCAGCTGCTGAGTGAGTTATATTTTAATTTCTTGAAGTTATTAATTTCTCAGGACAGTGGGGAGCAGCTGATTTAAGAAAAAAGATTTTCTCATATTGACCTACTACAGTAATAACACTGCTGCTTGTATGTGATTGGCATCAACAAGTCATTTTCACCAATTCACTATAGGCTATATGCAGAAGCACCATCCCCCTCAGAACAGACTTTAGCTTTATATAGTGCACAGGCAGTGAGTTAATCTTCCTTATAGCAATGGTGTGTATTATTAAGCAGATATTCAGCTGGATATATAAGAATTCAACCACAGACTGCAGGGATTCCGCGCCAGCAGAAACCAGCCGAAAACTTGTCCATATATCCAGATGTCAGAAAGGTACTTCTTTCAAGTGGGTAAACAGAAAGAAGAAGAAAAAAAAATGAAAGCAAGGCTTGAGAATGGGAGATGTACTGAATACCCTGGAAACAGGTTACAGCAGGTTGATTGTGCAGTCCTGTGTTTGGGACTCCTCTCCGAAATATCCTTCTCCAGCTTGTTTGTATATACTGTTTCATGTTTTAATTCTTCTCACATCTCAAGAACTGCCTGTGTGCTTGGAAAGACAACTGCTACAGAATATGTACCGGGGACAGACAAAGGCAAGGTTTTTCCTGTAGTATTTGGCCCTCATGGACAGTGAAGAGACAAAAAACACCTGACAGAGACAGATGGGTTACACCTCACAAGTGAGACAAAGCTATATGGTATCCTTTTGCTGCACGGCAACTCCATCCAGCACTGAGTAGGAGGCTGTCTTCAGCATCATGGATTGTTGGTTCAGACACCACAGGCTAGGTCTGCCTTGAGCAGGCCTTTACCAATTTCTGAGCTCCTGAGCCTAAGTAAAAAGACAACACCCAAGGCCCTTACAATCTGGGGTTTTTTTGCTTCTTTGTTTGTGTATGACATAATTAAAACACAATTTTCCACCACTAATCACCATGAATTTCTTCAGAATAGAGGCTGGATAACAACAAAATCAACTGTGAGATATTTGTATGTCCTATCTTCTGCTAAAGTACTGTCAGCTATTGGAGCAGGATAAAAGTGAGTGGACCTAGCACTACCTTTCAAAAGCCATCTTCAGTGTTTTGTGGCATTTCACAGTGTTAGTTTCAATTGATCTGCACATTTTCTGCCCACAAGGCCAACCTTAGTGATACATAACCCATCCGAACCTTCCCACCAAGTTGCCTGGAAGCTACCCTGAACTACCAGCCTGTGTGCTGGGTGCGTATGTGGTGAGATGGGCTTGCTACTTCAAATCACCTCTCTAGTGCTGAAAAAGACAAGCCCACTGAATATGTTCTTGTGTGAGTCCAGGGCTCTGAGCTCCTGTGTCAGCTCTAGCACATGCTTCAAAATGCCTGCTTGCGCCAGGACCTCCAAAGAAAGAATGATGGCTCTTCCTAAGCCATCCCACATCCATCAAGGCAGAAATTCAGTTAGTTTTCTTACATTTTGCAAACCTGCATAATAATTTAGCAATGCATGGTTTCACATTGCTGTTCAAGTCCCTTTACTGTCCACTTTCACAGAATTCCAGCTTTCTCACTACGAAAACTCTTTTCAGCATTTTGCTGTGGCAGAAACTTTTTTGGTGGTTATACTGAAATCTCTCTTCCCCTCCCCCACCCCCCTTTTTTTTTTAACATGCAAGTATTTTTACAATGAAAACCATTACTTCTCCTAGCTCTAATGCAGATTTTCATGGTTTTATCTTGAACCTGATCTTTAGGTGCTTAGTGCCTCCTAAAATGTGCTGCAATGTGCCTGAACTGTAACTGACACCAAATAGAGCCAAAAAGGCAGAAATTCTGCACTTTGGACATCAATTGCTATATTTTGAAAAATACTGAATTGCTCGTTTTGCAAGAGAGAGAAGATGCTCACAACTGACTGTAAATGTTCTTCTCTCCAGCCTCACACAGCTCTTCATGGCTCTTCATCCCTCTTCTGACATTGTCTAAAAAGGAACAGGAAGGATGCCTCATCCTGCTACCTCTTCATGCCATTTTACTAACCAGCCTCTAGTTAGCTCAGATTAGGCAAAATTGCTATTTGGGTCAGCGGCATTGTTCCTTGAGAAAGGAATACAGAAATGAACTCAATGACTGCAATCTTTTGAGTCCAATGGTGTACACTGCGAAGTTTTGTCGGGGCTTTTTAGAGAGGAGGAGAATAAATTATTTTTAAAAGTGTCCAACATACTGTTCTTCGACACTGGAAACATGTCCTTCTGGGGCATCATAAAGTAGAAAGACTTCTACCTTCCTTGGTCAGTGAGTGTGGGTTGACATACATACAAATATATATATACATATATGTGTATATAAAGAAATAAAAATACATACAAATAAATGTAAATTACCATTTGAGAGGTTATTGAGTTCATGCTTATATTGCCTTTGGTTTGGGGAATATGAGTCCTGGGCGACATGCCTACTTGATTGCCTCTGTGGTTAATGCAATTTACTGAGAAGACATGAATGTATAGGCTTCTGTTCAGTTTTGGGTTTTGGTTTTTGTGGGGTTTTTTATTATCATTTAGCAATTTAATCTATGAATGTGCTTGAATTTTTTTGTATATATAATAATAATTAAAAAAACACCATTAAAAGGATATGATTTAAGATTCTTTCTTGTGTTTGCACCTGCCATGTGTGAATAACCTCCAAGCTTAGAAGAGGGCAGGGAAACCAAGTTATGAAATAAAATTAATTCATTTCCCATTGTTGTTGTGCTTTTCCTAGATTCCTGTATCATTTTAAATCTCTTATTTTTCCCAAGCATTTTGAAGACTGATTTTTTTTTTCTTTGCATACGTGTTCATTTTTTCCTTTTTTCATACATATTTTAGAAGCTGGCATTGACATACCCCCTTCAAACAGCCAAATTTTAAAAGCAGCAACACTAGAATGAGATATTGGAACCTTTCTGCTTGCTCAATAGGTGCACTAAGTATCTATGTTTTTAAATTGCAATGCACTTCCCAAAGGGCCTGGCAGCCGAGGCCTGTCCCATCCCCAGCCAGGAGCAGGGCAGCTGGGAGTGACCTGGGCAGCCTCAGCTGGGGACTGGGACAGTAGATGGGCCCATGGGTGGTCCTGGCTCAGTGGGGCCCATGGCCGGGCAGGACAGAGCTGTGGGGAGCTGGAGACCGGCCCTGCTTCAGTGTCACTGGGGCAGGGCTGATGGCCCCAGGGGGCCAGCACAGGGCCCTGGACCCTAGGCAGGGTGGGGGGAGCCCCAGGGGGCAGACATGGTGTCCTGGCCTGTGGGCAGGGTGGGGGGAGCACCAGGGGCTGGGCAGGGACAGTCAGGGCTGGTGGTGCCTTGATAAATATTCCCTAGGCTGACTATGCTCCATTTTGGGTTCAATATCTGTTTGTCTGCTTTCATGCTGACACATGAAAGAGGGCCAGTGATATCCTAAAGTCACTTGATAATTTTTTGTTGTTTTTTCCTATTCAAAATGTTTAAAATAACGTGAGGTCTACACTGATTCCCACTAGAGTGGTGTTTCTCTAAGCATGAATGTTTGAAGGTGAAATGCAGTGTTGGTAAGTGTGAAGTAATGCACATGGGGAAATCCAGTCACAGCTTTGTGTACAAAACGATAATACATAATTCCATGCATTAGTTCAGCATTGTAGAAATCCACGCTTCAGCCACACCTTGTTTTCTTTCTGTACTTCTGGTCTCTTCATCACAGACAGGATCTACAAGAACTGGAAAAGGTCATTAGAAGGGCATGTGGGATGATCCAAGGTATAAATTCAAAACTGTACAAGTAAAATAGTCTAGGACTCTTCAGCCCAGAAAAGTGACAACATAAGGTAGGCAGGAAAGAGGTCTGCAGCATCCTCAGTGGAGTGCAGAAGCTGATCGGGATGAGTTTCACTGCCTTTGCCCAAGCAAGAACTGGGGAATAACATATTAAGCTAATGAGATCCAGACTCAAAACCAGGAAAAGTTCGTATCTCTTCTCGTAACACACAATATAACGGGGGAACACCTTGCCAAGGATGTTGTCGATACATATAGTACATGGGTCCACAGAGAAACAGGAAAAGCACCTGAAAAAGAAATCCATTGTAGGTTACTAAGTAGGCAAACCACAACAGACTCAGGAAGACCCCCAAGATTAAAATGGTCAGAGGTTGGAGGAGTATTAAAGGTAAGTGACATTATGTGATTGCCCTCTTCTTCCTCTTCTTGAAATGCCAGTGCTTGAGTCAGGACACTGAAAGCTAGACAGCCCTTTGGCCCTGCTCCCACATAAGCCCTGCCAGAACTGCCTTGGAGCCTGGCCTCTTCCACCCTGCCAGCTGGGGGGCTGCCAGCGGGGATTCAGGGGGGAACTTTGCCTGCTACTGTCTTGGAGGAGGCTATCCCGGAGTTGGGGAGGGC